CCCGAGCTCCTTACTGGTCTTTTAAGTCTTCTGTTCTTCCGCGCATGCGCACAGCGCATACAGCACCTGCATGACGCTCCTCTGAGTAGCTGGAGCATTGCGGAGGCTCGTGGAGGCGCTAAGACACATGCACACGTCCATGTGGACACCACCGGCCCCATTCCAACCGTACTGGTTGGAACGGGATCCGGAACCCACCACTGCCTCCCGCAAAATAAGCTCCCCCCAACTACTTAAACGCTGGTCCCCGCTATTTCTACTGGTTGCTTTACACACAAACAGCCAAGGTGAGGAGGCAACGCCAGAAGGGGGGAAAGGGGGCATGTTCCACGCACCCCACATGCCCTTACTGTACCTACTGGTAAAGGCGATGGCTGGGAAAAAAGAGGGCCCACCGCAAAAAGAGCGTCAGGCCAGCAACGCACCTCGCGCCCCACTCCTTCCCATGCAAAAAGAGCTCTTGTTGCGTTCCTCTCCATTGTGTCCAGGGAAACACGTACAAAAACCTTTCTCGCGAGTTCAATCAAACTTCTCGAACTCGCGAGAAGGTTTTTTTACAAGGTGCTTCCGTGGACACCACGGTGAGGAACACGACAGAGCTGCCAGTCTCCGGGAAGGCATGCGTCTCATGGTGGCGTGCAATTTGGGGGTGGCAGGTGGGGCAGGGGATGGGGCAGGGCAGGCCGTGTGTTTTACCGGACACCGACTGCTCCATCGAGTTTCTCGGCTAGTCTGTGCAGGCAAACCCCTTGCACAGTAAAGAAAAACGTCTTGTGAGCGCGAGCAATTAACTTCTTGAACTCGTGAGTTTTTCTTTACTGTGCAAGGGGTTTCCCTGGACAGACTGGCCGAGAGATGCAACGGAGCGGTCAGGTTCTGGTAAGATGCGTGTCTCACAGCCCAACACCTCCCACCCTGCCCCAATGGCAACGACATCCTGGCTGCTTCCCGTCCCTGCCGTCTCTTTAGTGAGAGGGGTGGCCGGTGGGGTGGGGGAGAAGAGAGGCGCGCGTCCTAGCAGTACCATATATTTGCAGTTCCATCGCGTTCCTTGGTACTTTGTCCAGGGAATCACCTTGCAAAAAAAAACCTCACGGGTTTCAGATGTTTGATTGAACTAGCAAGTTTTTTTTACAAGGTGCTTCACTGGAGAAAACGGCAAGGAATGCAACGGAGGTGCAAGTCTCCGGTACTGCTAGGACGTGCACCTCACTTCTCCCCCGCCCCACCTGCCACCCCTCTCGCTAAAGAGACGGGGATGAGAAGCAGCCAGGATGCTAGAATCTCCTGGTGATTGGCCCAAAGTAACCTTTCACGCCTAAGGCATAAAACATGAGACTAGAACTCGCGGTCTCCTGGTGATTGGCCCTAAGTCACACTGCCAGCTTTCATGCCTAAGGCAGAACTAGAACTCACAGTCTCCTGGTGATTGGCTCAAAGTCACCCAGCTGGCTTTCATGCCTAAAGCAGGACTGGAATTCACCATCTCCTGGTGATTGGCCCAAAGTCACTTAGCTGGCTTTCATGTCTAAGGCAACCTAGAACTCGCAGTCTCACCCAGCTGCTTTCATGGCTAAAGCGGAACTAGAAGTCACAATCTCCTGGTTTCTAAGCCAACACCTTCACTACGACACCAAACTGGCTCACTTTGGTTAAAAGTGAATGGCACAAACTAATTTATTTCGGTCGAAGGTTGGCAGAACTGGCAATATTAATGATTGATAATGATTTGTAGTTTTCCCTTTTTTTTTCCTCTTTTGTTTTTAGCATCCAGCCAGGGTAGATTCTATAGCTGTGATGGCGAACGAATGGCACGTGTGCCAGAGGTGGCATGCAGCGCCCTCTCTGATGGCACACAAGCTGTTGCCCCAGTTCAGCTCCGCCTACGCACGCACCTCCCACCAGCCCGCTGGTCTTTGGGTCTCTGCCTTGCATGTTTGGGGGCCAGGGTGCATGCAGAGGGGAGATGCGCATATGTGGGGGGCATGCATGGGGCGGTGTGCATGCACGGGGATGCACGCGCATTGCATTTCAGGGTTCGGGTGCATGCATGTGCCCTTTGGGCACCTACTCCCGGAACGGTTACCCATCACTGTTCTATACTGTGTGTTTAATGTTAATTTTATTTGATATTCAGGTTAGTTTTTCTTCTTTTTTGTATACCAATCTTTTTCTTTTTCATTGTTAATGCTGGATGCATGGGGTTTTTTTTTTGGTTAATTGGTTTTTCTTCTTTTGTATTTTATTTTTTTACAATCAAAGAAAATAAATTTACCGTATTTTCCAGTGTATAAGACGCACCCGAGTATAAGACGCACCAAATTTTTGAAAAGATAAATAAAATAAAAAAACATTTTTGCACTCTGCAGACCTCCCAAACCCTCTGCACACCTCATTTTTTCGTGAAAATCAGGGCATGTAGAGAGTTTGAGAGGCCTGCAAAGTGCTCCTGGGGGTTGCGGGGGGAGGGGGCAAAAATGGCCTGGTGTTTGCAAAAATGACTTCGTTTTTTTGCCAAAAAAAGGACATGCCTAGCCTTTAGAAGGCTTGTAGAGTGCTCCTGCGGTGTGGGTAGGGGGGAAAACAAGCAAAAAACGGCCCATTTGTCACTCGTTTTTGCCCTCCCCGCTCCCCAGGAGCAGTCTGGAAGCCTCCTAAAGGCTATGCATGGCCATTTTTGCAAAGGGGGTGAGGTTTCGGGAGGCCAAAAATGCTGTATTCAGTGTATAAGAAGCACCCAGATTTTCACCCTCTTTTGGGGTGGGGGAGGCAAAAAATATCTCTTCCTTCCGGTCCATCTCCTTGCCTTACCTCTCCGTTTCAGACAGTGGTAGAAAAGGCCGGATTCCCTCTGTGCCGGGAAGGTGTTCAAGGGCAAGTCCTGAGCTTCTGAGCCGGCGAATGGCATGTGAGCTCCGTTCTCGTACTGGTAGTGGTGGAGAGCTTGGTGGCTTCCGTGAGGCGGGCTGAGGTCCGATTTCGCGGAGAGTTGACCGTGTGTGGAGACCAACCTCTGCCTCATGATGGTCTTCGAGATCACAGGATACTCTTTGCTGCAAGCATTAGCAGAAATAGAATCAAAATAGCGCTGGAAGTGTTGTGGCCCACCAGAAGCCAGCAGAGTCAGACAGTGAGGAGGTTGGAGAGGAACCTGGGCCAGTCCTGGAATCTGGGGAAGGCTCGGATGAGGGCTCTGTGTCGGAGGCAGAGAGGGGGGCCAGGGCCGTATGCCAGTTATCAGCTGCCTCCGGAGTCTGAGATCAGTGAGGCAGAAGAACAGCTGGAGCCTATTCCCAGTGTGCGCATGCACAGAGTTGCCAGATAAAGGGAAGAGCAAAAGAAGAGGGGTCGACTTGGGAGTAAGGTGGACAGTGAATGGCCCCTCCCATAGGGAATAAAAGAGGAGCAAAAGGGGAGTGGAGTTTGCAGGAGACAATTAGTTCATTCTTGCATTCTTGCCAAGTATATATCGGCCTGGCCACTCTCCAAGCCTGATAAAGGTCGGTAATTGTGAACTATCTTGAAAGATGGTGGGAGAGGAAAGACTTTGCTG